CAACTACAAAGACGACAGGTGGATAAATCCACAAAGATGGGAAGAAACCAGTGCAAAAAGGCTGAAAACACCCGAAACCAGAATACCTCTCCTCCTACAAGGGATCACAACTCCTCATCAGCAAGGGAACAAGGCCTGATGGAGAATGAGCGTGATGAATTGACAGAATCAGGCTTCAGAAGGTGGCCAATAAGAAACTTCTGTGAGCTAAAAGAACATGTTCTAACCCAATGCAAAGAAACTAAGAACCTTGAGAAAAGAGTTGATGAAATGTTAACGAGAATAGACAACTTAGATAGGAATATAAATGAATTGATCGAGCTGAAAAACACAACACGAGAACTTCGCAAAGCATGCACAAGTTTTAACAGTTGAATTGACCAAGCAGAAGAAAGGATATCAGAGGTCGAAGATCAACTCAATGAAATAAAACGAGAAGGCAAGATTAGAGAAAAAAGGGTAAAAAGGAATGAACAAAGTTTCCAAGAAATGTGGGACTATGTGAAAAGACCTAATCTGCGTTTGATAGGTGTACCTGAATATGACGAAGAGAATGAATCTAAGCTGGAAAATAATCTTCAGGATATTATTCAGGAAAACTTCCCCAACCTAGCAATGCAGGCCAATATTCAAGTCCAGGAAATACAGAGACCACCATAAAGATATTCCTCAAGAAGAGCAACCCCAAGGCACATAATTGTCAGATTCACCAGGGTTGAAATGAAGGAGAAAATGCTAAGGGCAGCCAGACAGAAAGGTCAGGTTACCCACAAAGGGAAGCCCATCAGACTCACAGCAGATCTCTCAGCAGAAACCCTACAAGCTGGAAGAGAGTGGGGGCCAATATTCAACATCCTTAAAGAAAAGAACTTTCAACTCAGAATTTTACATCCAGCCAAACAAAGCTTCATAAGTAAGGGAAAAATAAAATCCTTTGTGAACAAGCAAGTACTCAGAGATTTCTTCACCACCAGGCCTGCTTTACAAGAGCTCCTGAAAGAGGCTCTACACATAGAAAGGAACAACCAGTACCAGCTACTCTAAAAGCATACCAAAAGGTAAAGATCATCAACATAATGAAGAAACTGCACCAAATAATCGGCAAAACAGCCAGCTAGCTTTAAATGGCAGTATCAAATTCACACATATCAATATTAACCCTAAATGTAAATGGACTAAATACCCCAATCAAAAGACACAGACTGGCAAATTGGATAAAAAGTGTGGCCCCATTCTTAAAAGGCTTCCAGCTTAGTTGGGGAGATAGCAAATATGGTCAGGTAATATTTAAATCAAAACTAGAGAAATTTGTAACTGTAACATGGAATGAGAAAATTGGACTTTGAATGCTTTAGGACTAAATGTTTTAGTCTTATAAAATTCCTCTATTCCTACTGAAGATTAGCCATGAATTCTGATGTGAAAGAACTCATAACTTTAGCTAAGGCATTCTATTGTCTAGCAGAAGTTTCTGCAATAAAGGAAATGTTCGACAATCTGTGCCATCCAATAAGATAGCCATTAACTACATGTGGCCTTTGAGCCTCTGAAACGTGATTAGTGCAACTGAGAAATTAAATGTTTAATTTAATTTATATTAAATTAAATAATCACACAAAAAAAGAAAAGATACTCAGCATCATAGCTCATTAGGGAAGTGTGAAATAAAATCAAATTAAGACACTACTATACACCTTTTAGAACTGCTGAAATAAAACAACTGATAATACAACATGCTGGTGAATATGTGGGACAACCGGAGCAAAACTCATATGTTTCTGGTGGAAATACAAAACATGACAGTCACTTTAGAAAACAGTTTCAAAAAAAAAAGAAAATGAAATTTTTATTTTAGATTAGCCTGGCACAGAGGTGCATGCCTGCAGTCTCAGATGCTTGGTAGGGTAGCCTGAGGTGGAAGGTGGCTTGAGGTGAGGAGTTTGAGGCTGCATTGAGCTGTGATTGCATCACTGCATTCCAACCAGGGCAGTAGAGCAAGACTTCCGTTCTCTCTCCCTCTTTTTCTCTCTCTTTCTTTCTCTCTTCTCTCCTCTTCTCTCTTCTCTTCTCTTCTTTTCTTCTTTCCTTCCTTCCTTCCTTCTTTCCTTCCTTCCTTCCTTCCTTCCTTCCTTCCTTCCTTCCTTCCTTCCTTCCTTCCTTCCTCTCTTTCTTTCCTTCCTTCCTTCCTTTCTCCTTCCTTCCTTCCTCTCTCTCTCTCTTTTCCTTTCTTCTTTCTCCTTATTTCTTTCTTTCCTTCTTTCCTTTCTTCCTTCCTTTCTTTCTCTTTCTAAAAAAAAAAAAAAAAAAAAAAAAGAGACTGTCCATTGCTGCAGGAGGAAGTTGCTAGGATAAGGGACTTGAATATATTCTTTCGGGGTGTTTTATAACATCTTATGTTTTACCAGAGCTTGTAGTTTTCTCTTAATTTACTTATTTGACTAATGTCTCTTTTCTTTACTATGCTGTAAGTTCCGTGAAGGAAGTTTTTTTTGCTCATGATGGTGGAATGGATAAATGGTTTGCTAAACTCTTAAGATGTCAAAGTAGCATATTGTATTTGGTATAATGGAAGTAAGGGTCTGTCCCAAGGTTCTCCTGTAGAGATTTTGTCAAAATCTCTTTTTGACAAAGGAACACTGAAAGAGATATGCCTTTGGGAGCTTTGTCTTAGTAAAGGGCGTTATAGAACCATTTCTGACTGTGTCGTTTCTAAGGAAAACAGAGTATGCTGTTTCTTACTGGCAGGATATTCATTTATATTAAAAATATATATTCACTTCAATGTTTTGTCATTGAAATATGCTTTCAGTGTAATTATCTGCTTTGAAGGAATGAGTTGACACAGACACATTGTGGAAAGGTTTAGAGCTTTATAGTGAGAGTTGAGGTGCTTCCCAGCATAGTGTCTTGCGTCTCCATGCATGGAGTTTCTCTCTGGGTGCCAGATCCCAGATCAGTGATTTAATTGTGGGCCTGTTTTGGACACACAACTGAACAGAAAGAGAAGTAAAATTGAGAGGGAGTGTTGGAATTTCCCTGCTTGGAGTAAACTGTTATCCTTATCATAAAAAAGGTATTTGAGACTTGTGTGAAAATGGCCTTTTCTGAGGTTCCCTGCGCTCTGACAACTTGTTTAGCTTATTAGAGAGGCTTGGATGAGGATGGCTGTGCAGGATTTCTTTTTCATTGTAAGAATCTGTCTCCCATGGAACCCAGGTTGCCCCTGGTCTGGGGAGACAGTGGAGACTAGTGGTTTCAGGATGGTCCAAGGGCCTTCGGGGCAGATACACCAGGACAGAAAATCCCAGCTCTGCCTTATACTAGCTGTGTCACCTTAGTCAGGTTCTTTAATGTCAGTGGATTTTATTTTCCTCTTGTATGTTAGAGATACAGATAATATGTCTTTTCTGGGAATTTAGTGAAGATTAAATAATTACAATTAATAAGGATTAAATAAGGTAATGTATGTACAGCTGTAGGCATGGTTCCTGGCACAGAGTTAGTGCTCAGGCAACCATTATCATTATTCTTATTTCTGTTAGATTTGATTGCTTTTAACATGCAGCATACTATTTGGGCTAATATGATGTCTATTTGGCTCACCCACTTAACCATTTTTATTGATATATAATAATTGTACATATTTATGGGGCATGTTTGCTATTTTGATACATGCCTGTAATGTGTAATGATCAAATCACCTCCAACATTTGTCATTTCTTTGTGTTGGGAATATTTCATATCTTCTAGCTATTTTGAAATACACACTGTACAGCAGTTAACCATAGTCACCCTACTGTGTTATGAAATACTAGAACTTATTCCTTTTATCTAACTGTATTTTTGTACCCATTAAACAAACTCTCTTCATCCTTTCCACTGGTTTCTTAGCCTCTGATTACTATCATTCTACTTTCTACTTCCTTGAGATTCATGTTTTTAGCTGCTACATATGAGAACATGTGATATTTGTTTTTCTGTGCCTTCACTTGACATAATGACCTCCAGTTCAATCTATGTTGCTGCAAATGACAGAATTTCATTCTTTTTTATGGCTGAATAGCAGTCCATTTTGTATGTGTATATTTATCCATTCATCCATTGATGAGCACTTAGGATCACTTCATATCTTGGCTGTTGTGAATAGTGCTGCAGTAAATGTGGGGGTACAGGTATTCCTTTGATATACTGATTTCCTTTTCTCTGGATAAATACCAAGTAGTGGGATTGCTGGATTATATAGTGGTTCTATTTTTAGTTTTTTGAGAAATCACCATACTGTTTTCCATAATAGCTGTACTAATTTACATTCCCACTGTCAGTGTATAAGAGTTCCCTTTTCTCCCCATCCTTACCAGCATTTGCTATTTTTAATCTTGATCATAGCCATTGTAACTGGGTTGAGATGATATCTCATTGTGGTTTTGACTTTCATTGCCCTGATGATTAGTGATGTTGAGCTTTTTTTTATATACCTGTTGGCCATTTGTATGTCTTCTTTTGAGAAATGTCTGTTCAGATCTTCTTCCCACTTTTTAATGGTATTATTTGTAGTTTTTTTTTTTTTTTCTGTTGTTTGAGTTCCTTGTGTCCATTTACCTTTTTAAACTGATAATCTCTCTCTCTCTCTCTCTTTTTTTTTGAGACCTAGTCTCGCTCTGTCGCCCAGGCTGGAGTGAAGTGGCGCGATCTCAGCTCGTCGCAACTTCTGCCTCCTAGGTTCAAGCGATTCTCTGGCCTCAGCCTCCCGAATAGATGGGATTACAAAGCTTTTTTGTTTTGCTTTAAAAAAAAATTATGTATTTAAGTTGTATAACATGATGTTGCAATATACTTTTGCTTAGTGAAACGGTTACTGTAGTCATTCTTCTTCTTCTGTGTAATGCTATTTGATTTGTTTTTGAAAATTATCTCCAGAGATTTTTTTTTCTTACCTGCTTTTGGAATGCTATCCTTGGGTAATGACTTGATTTTTCTCTTAAATTCCATCTTGTTTGTAGGCAGACAGCCAAGTGGACCTGGTCCGGCAGCATTTCTATGAAGTATCTCTGGAATATGTCTTCAAGGTGCAGGAAGTCCAAGAGAGAAAGATGTTTGAGTTTGTGGAGCCCGTAAGTAGATATTCAGGGTTTAATGGTGTCCCGATACATTCATCCCTCATTCTAACTAGCAGTAGATTACAAAATGCTCTAAGTTGTTGATGAAGAGGTTGAGCAGCCCTGATGCTGTGCCTTCTGAAAGTATCAGTGCTTTGTCAACCTAGCTGCCCTGGGTTCTTCCCAGCAGCCATTCCCATACAACACACAGCAATGCAGATGGAGCGCCCAGCATTCGTTCCTTCCTCTAGCTACCTGGTGATGTGCCATATGATTTTCAGGTGGACAGAGTGGAAATGGGAGTCCAGAGGGGAGGAGTTCTTTATCTTGCCATGAAATAGTGATTACACCTTAACTTTCCTCCTCTCTCCTACCCTTCCTCTCTTCCTCAAATAATCCAGATGTAGTAGTCACCCAAAGACATAGTACCTCTCTCTTTTTCCTTCCTTGTTCAAAGCTCCTTCTTACCCCATTCAGTATTAAAAGATGCTATATGAAGTTTCTCACATGGATTTCTTACGTGGATTTGTTATAAGTAGAGCAGCATAGAGCAGTATAGAGACTCTGCTGAGACCATGATGTAATTTGGACTTGGACAGTGTCCCAGTGAACATGAAGATTGCATTGTGGGAAAAAGTCTGACTTTAGTTTTAGCCCACACCAGGATGGTTGTGGTTTTGTTTGGACACGGTGCCACTCCTCTTTGTTGTGTGTGGCACTGGTGTGGAGAATCCACAGCAGGAAGACTTCAGGGAAACACGAAAATAGTATATGGACTTCAATTTAAAACTCTCGCAGATCATGGATTTTCCAGCCAAAATGCAGCTTCTGATTTAGACTCAGGCCTTGGCGTCTCTGTACAAATAAGATTCTCTACCTAGATTTAAGAAAGGATAATTTTCTTTCTCTCTCTCTCTCTTGCTTTCTCTCTCTCTCTTTCTTTCTTTTTCTTTCTTCCCTCCCCTCCCCTCCCCTCCCCTCCC